GCCAATAAAGAGGGAAATAAAATCCGAAAAAAAGAAAAATATGTGTTGCATGTTAGATCAGAACGAGCTTCTATGTAGATCACAAGGAATGGTCCTTATGCAATTTGGACTCGAGCCATTTGTCGTATAATAGAGCATCCTCGCATACTAATATGAAAACTTAGTTTCCACTTTTAGTAAGAGAGATTCCGACCCGCAATATCCCACAAGGAAAGGAAGTGGTGACACCGATCAGAGCTAATCTCACTTGACATATACCGGAGAGTTGTGATGGGAGATCTGATATATTTTGAGCTTCTGTTATGCGGGCTTCATATTAATATCTTAAAGGCAACACCTGGTGGTGGAAAACACTAAGTGAAGGGCTTTCAAGAGTCTATCTGTTATTGAGAAATCAATTTTTAAAAAGTGGAGGGAATTCACAGTCCCTCATTGGAACAACTATTAGGATTCAGTGTTCCTAAACGTAAGTTGAGAACCAACTTAACCCAAAAGTTAATCCATTAGGTACTAGCCCACCTTTCCATGTGAAACTATTCTTGCACATGAATTCCCAACATCACATGCAATAGATTAAGCTATTTTTCTATCGCTTCAACTATGAAAGGATCCTTAAGAATTAATGTCAATATTTGTTGGTATAAGTATTCCGATATCTCCAAAGAAGCTACAACACAACGATGCATAATGAACAATAACTATACATATAACTACCGACTAGAACAATTACATTGCTTCACATAAGGTCTTTACTCTTACTGTTCAAAACACACACACACACACACACACACATACACACATTAAGTTTGTAGGGAAGCAGCATTTTCAACTTATCAGTTGATGAGAGTAGGAAAGTGATAATTTTTGTAGTAGAAAAGTGGAGAGAAGTTCTCAAATCTAAAGTATCTAAAATTAGCAGAACACAAACATAAGTTATAGAATGTACTTTTTATAAAAGTGGAAAAAGGAACGATCATAGTGCATGACTATCAAGTAGCATCTAAGAATAACCACTTTCTTTATTTAGGGTCAATTGAATAATAGTCATGATGTTGAGATAGAGGATGATGTGATTCATTGAGTCATAGCGAGGTGGTTAAAATGGCGTGTTCTAGAGTTCCATGTGATCATCTTACAATACCTATGCGATTGAAGGTAAAATTCTATAAGATAATTATAAAGCCAACCATATTTTATGGATTTGAATTTGTGGCAATTAAAAAACAACTTATGCAAAGAATAAGCGTACAAAAATGAGAATGTTAGGATGGTCTCATGGATATATGCTAAAAAATAGTTTAAAAGATTAGAGGTTGCTCCTATCTAGGGTAAAATGAGAAAGAATCGATTGAGATGGTTTATGCATGTACAACGGAGGCCACTAAATGCATATGTTAGAAAAATTGATAAGATTATAGTTAATGGGGCAAAGAGAACTAGAAGCAAACCTAAACGGACTTTTTGGAAGTAGTTAAGAAGGATACGATAAATAAGCATAACGGAAGAGATGTTCCATAATAGAATCGAATGGAAGAATAAGATTCATGTAGCTGACCCCAAAAATTTGGGATAAAGGCTTTGTTGTTGTGGTTGAATCATGGTTAGGGCAGTCAAATCTTAGACCATCTCCAATGGCCAACAATCTCAACAATTTTTTGATGCAATGGCAAGGCAAGTAGGAAGGCATTTGAAAAGGAGGGGAGAGAAAGTGAGGAGAAAGGCAAAATTTGCCTTCCTGTTAACTTTCAAAATGGGCCCCACATGTCATAAACTTTTTATAATTATTCTCACCTTGTTTTTAAATGATTTTTTTGATCAATAATTATTTGAAATTAATTTTTTATTTTTTCACCACTATTTATTATTTTTCAAGATCTATAAATAGAGATTAAGTTTGTGTTCTTTGGACACCAAAAAAATTTAAATTTTTTGCTTAGTTATCATAGTTGAGTGATGTGGAGGAAAGATAAAGTGAAAAAACTTTTTGAAAAACTAGTTGTTGTGAAGTTGAAAGGCAATTGGAAAAGACAAGTGATGTGGAGGGAGAATAAAGTGAGGTGGAAGGAGAGAGAAAGGCAATATTTGCCTTGCCATTGGAGATGGTCTTACAATTAGGGCAGTCACTAATTGTGTTTCAAGGTTGAGCAGAGCATGAAAGTGTAAGTTTTTTATGGTAGGATGTGGGACCTTTTCCCCATTATAGCTGTAATAAATGGCTTCACATTAGGGTACTGTTGTGCATGTTTGCAGAGGCTCAACATTGTTATTTGTTCTATGCGCAAAAGTACATCGAATTTCTGTTTGCAAGTATGTGCTTCTATTACTCTTGTAAAAGTGTTCCTCAATACTCAAGTTTTGCATCAGTTTCGTTTCAGTCCAGATAGAAATGACTATCTACTTTCTAAACTGAATGGTATTTGGATCACATGGTTGTAGTAGGATAACATGTCGTGGTTGTGGAAAGTTCACAACCTAGCAACGTTGATGAGTTTTTGCAATAATCTTACTGTGCAAGTAGATATGATTGCTGGAAGAGAGCTGTAATTTTGTCCAGTTTTTTTGCTCCATCATAGTTTTCTTTTTTGGTGTCGAGAAAAGCCCATAGACAGGGAAAGGAACTCCCATGAACATAACTCTTGTTATGCATATGGATCTCAACATACTTCCATAAAGATGGTATTTGTACATTTTGGACTAAAGCCATAATGCAATAATCCTAAGTTCGGTCCTTGCATATCAATTGAATGTTTTCTTGTCCACATTTGAGAGAATGATTCGCACAAAGCGCCCACAACGAAAGGAAATGGCAATGCCATCTGATCTAATTTCACTTTTTATGTAGCCAAGAGTTATGATGTGCAATTTGGTACATTTTGAGCTTCCATCATGTGACTGCCATATCGATATTATCTTTTTTGAGTCACTATTGCCATATTAATTCTAAATGCAACATCCATTGGTGGACAACATTATTACATCCTACAAAGAGATCTCAAGTGTGTAGTTTTCATTGAGGGGTCAATTTTCTTGAACAAAGCAGAAACATAAGAAGTTGAGGGAGCAACACAACAAAGCTATTTCTCTATATGCTCTGAGGTTTAATGTCAATGCTTTTCTGTATAAATCTCAAAACTAGGAGCACGTGATGCATGGACATTTACTTGCTGTTTACTTCAACATGTTTACATCCTTACTTCCATATTTATGCTTCAGGTAAACAGCATTTTCACTTTTGCCGCTGACCCAGATTTCCTCGAGAATGACATCCGTGTAAAGCCAGACCTCGACGCCCATGGAGCTCTCGGTGACGCGGGCTGGTACTGCATCCGGGCCATCCTCTGGGCCACTGACTACCAACTTCCAAACCGAGCCATCGCCCTCCGAAACCCCATCCTCAACACCGCCGGAGTCATCCTTGCCTGCGGCTCTTCCCTCATTTGGGACGACGGCAAGGTTGCCACTTTCCACTGCTCCTTCTTGAGTCATCTCACTATGGAAATCACAGCCCTGGGAACAAAAGGAACTCTCCATTTGAGTGACTTCATAATTCCCTACGAGGAGAGCTCGGCTGAGTTTTCATTCAGTTCAAACGCAGGGTTCGATGAGTTGGTGACGAGGTGGGACCCTATGCCAAGCAAGCATGTAGTTGCCACTGAATCGCCTCAAGAAGTCAGAATGGTTGCAGAGTTTGCGAGATTGGCTGCGGGAATCAAGAGGTCTGGATTAGAGCCAGAGAGAAAATGGCCCGAGATTACGAGGAAGACGCAGTTGGTTCTCGATGCTGTGAAGGCTTCTATTGGGAAGGGGTTTGAAGCTGTAGAGATTGTTGGATGATGTAAGTTTTCTATGGAAAATGTTTGTCTTCGATCATGTGAGACAGTGGTGAAGGTTATCTTATCCCAATTTGAAATGCTTACTTAAAAATCTTGTGAGCTAAGAAACTATAGACTTTTGGTGAAGTTGTGTGTATATCATGTTATTGTGGCTGTTTGGCGTGCTGGATTTGGCTTCCCCTCTGGCGCCGTAAAGAGTCTAAAGACTTCCTTGGTTTGTCTAGTTTGTTTACTTGCATGCTTCCGAGTATGCTGGTGAAATTTCGTGGTGATTAAATGTGAACGAACGGAAGAGGGGGGCCTCACACCCACGTGCAGCGTGGGAAATTGATGAATGCAGACTTGTTTTATTGCGATCTGACTCTCTTGTTGTGCTGCCGAAGTGCTGCCGAAATTTCCGCTGCGCGCAACATTAAATACATAATGACGTATAGTTGTGGACAACATGCTAGGTGAAGGTTCACCAAGATGCCTACAACTGTGGTTTATTTCTTTACATCATGCTGAAAACGATCTTTAATGCACAAGTACATGTATTGGTAATGGTAATTGTAGTACAACTTTGGTTTATTTCTTTACATTATCTTTAATGCACATATACATGTATTGATAATTGTAGTATAAAAGTATACTCCTCAAACCTTTAAGGTTTGGTGCACCGATAGGGGCAATAGAGAACTTTGATATGATATCAGAGAAATTTGTGTTACGAATTTCTAAAGGGGGTTTAAAAAGAATACTGCTATGTGAAACTGAGTTTCGACTCATAAAAATGTCTTCAATCTGTGGATATATATTAAAGTATAAAATTATATCTCTCAGTTTTTATCATGACTTTGTAGTTTTAATGTAGCGACAGAAAAGCTTTGATAGTAATATTGTAGAGAAAATTGTTCATAAAGGATATCAAGAACAGAAACATCGTATGTAACATCTTATGCAAACAAACAAGTACACTTTTATATTAGATGATCATCTCTATAGGCTAGAAGTTCTGAGGTTGACGGTAAGGGGTGTAAAATGGTCTGAATATATCTGAACTGGTCTGCAACCATATCCGAAACAGATGTGGATATGATAGCCAAAATTTGAAACCGATCAGATAAGGATATGGTTTTCGATGTGTTTGGTTGGATACGATTTTGAATAAGGCATCAGTTTAAATTCCGGGTATATATGTTCCGAACATCCTAATTCAGACATGGATTCAACTGCATGCAATTCTTGGTTTTTGTGGGATTTTCTTAGGTTAGTGTGGTTGAAATTTCGTAAAATTTACTACCTAAAACAATTTTTTAACTGATAATTAACTTTTATTGACTAATTAATATGATATTTTTTTGTCATATACGATTCATATCTGAGTCATATGCGTTTTCAAATATCTGATTTGAATCTATAATTGTATCCGTATCCGCTTCTCTAATATCTAAACCATATCTATTTCTAGTTAACATGGATATGATCATGGTTTTTTCTTATGAACATCTATATCCGTATTCATTTTCAGAAAGCGGATATATGTATGACAAGTGTAACATCCAAACTGTATCCAAACAGGATGCGCCCCTAGCTCTTACTTGACGGCTTCTAGAAAGTGGGGCAACAACTAAATCGGATGAAAAGATAAAGGTTCGGTAATTATATAGCCACCTCAGAGATGGAATCAGAAACTTGATGATTATAAGCTTTCAGTCGTAGGATTTAAAACAATGGTGAACTCTAGTTTCGTTAAAATTACAAATTTAGAATATATTGAGTTCTGATGGCGTGAGGATTAGTGTGGGATTGATTAAGTTAGAGATGTTTTATGAGTTCTAGTCGTAGTAAGACAAGGATTTGTTATCCTATTTGGATTCTTTGGTTTTGCTATAAAAGCACTCGGATTTGTTGCTTCAACAAAACTTGAGAATAATAGAGAGAGAGAGAGAGAGAGAGAGAGAGAATATTTTCCTTTAACCTACCAGCAGCCAACTACACAATGCCGAGCAAAATCATGTTTTCTGATTCCATCCATCCCCGCCGACGCCTGTCCTTGTCCTCCGCCTTCAATGTATTCTGCGTCTCTAGCGGAATCCTCGGGTTCCTTTTCGGAATTATGACTTTGTACAACAACAACATCAACTTCGGACTGACTTCTTGGGATCACAACGGGATTGTGGGCGGCTCCATCGCAGGAGCACCCGATATTGTCGACAGGCACAGGGTGCTGGCGTTCGTAGGGGTGCAAACGGGGTTTGGATCGACGGGAAGGAGGAGAGCTCTTCGACAGACTTGGTTCCCTTCCAATCCTCAGAGCCTTCGCCAGCTTGAAGAATCGACGGGTCTGGCGTTCCGATTCGTGATCGGGAAGACCGGCGACGAAGCTAAGACGGAGGCCCTCAAACGAGAAGTCGAAGAGTTTGGCGACTTCTTGATGTTGCAAGACCTCGAGGAGGGATACAGCAATTTACCAGCCAAGACCTTGTCGTTTTTCAGAGCAGCATACGACGCGTACGACGCCGAGTTTTATGTGAAGATGGATGATGATATTTATTTGAGGCCGGATCGTCTTTCTGTTCTCCTGGCGAGACATCGCCCCCGCCCCCTTACCTATATCGGATGCATGAATAAGGGTCCGGTCTTGACCGACCCAGAGCAGAAGTGGTATGAGCCGCAGTCGAATCTTCTCGGACGCGAATACTTCTTGTACGCTGGTGGTGGTATCTACGCGCTGTCGTATGAGGTGGTGGAGGATCTGGTTAGCTTGAGAAGGGACACCGTTCGACTGTTCAACAATGAGGATGTGACGATCGGAGCGTGGATGCTTGCTATGAACGTCTATCACGAGGATGACCGAGCACTGTGTGAGCCTGAATGCACGCCGTCGTCGATAGCGGTTTCTGATAGTATGTGCTCGGGGCTGTGCAATCCGGAGGTGAAGATGTTAGAGCTCCACAAAAAAGAAATATGCTCTAGCAATCCTGGTTTGTAATCTATTAAATAATAAGTTTTTTTTTTTAATTTTAAGTATGGTGAAAAGGCAGACAGATTTTGTATTGAGAAAAAAAGGGTAAAAAGTTATTTGAGATCTTGTATTATAGAGGAATCGAATAACTAATGATTCACTTATGCCTTTGAAATACAAACATAGCATATATTGTACGTAAATATCTTTCATATTACTTCATGTTCAATTTCAACTATCTTAGATTCCGCTTATCAACCAATCTCCAATTCTAGCCTTGTGGCTAGTGGAGCAAGATGTTGCCTTGACTCTTTTGCAATGATGTCTTAATTGCACAAGTTATGCAGGGTAATGGTTTCATTTATAAATCTGTATATATGTGAACGAGAGCCAAGCTATGGAAAAGAAACGTTATAATATGATCAAGGCCATATATATACTGCTCATAAATTCAATGATCCATCCTTGGGGCTTGAGTTTGTTAGATTATGTGGCCCACGTATTAACTATTTTATTAGCTCACTTTAATCACGTTTTAAGCTAACTTTTAGTAGACACGTTTTCTACAATTACGTTTTAGTGGCAACAATTTTTAAACCATGTTTTGCTTAGTTAAAGGGTTATTATGGTTTAATAATATTAAGTGTTAAATTCCGATTGGTCAGTTTAGTTGGAGATAAGATTGTCAAATAACTGCGCACGTTGATGGAACGTGTGATAATTGTGTTGATGCTCGATATCAAACAAACAATTAATCCAGAAGAGGATGGTTGCGGGTGATGAAGGATGATGGAGGGCATGTTCCCTTCTTCGACTTTATGCCTAGTTTTTGAACGAGGGGTTGATATCCGCACTGCACAGATAAAAAGAACTCGTGAGAGGACGGGGGCTGGTTCCCTCGTGGTTCGTCGATCAAGTCAGTTGATGAACGTGAGCTTGAGTGGAGTTTAGAGCTATGTATTCTTGTTAGAGATGATGATCTCTGGGATTTAGATCAGGAGGAAGATTTAAGTTGCTCCGAGAGTTGTTTTTTAGATTAGACCAGGTTATCCTTATTTTGATGGTGAACAGCCTCCATATATGAAGCGGATGTCCATGGCAGACTGGTTATTTCGGTCATGCAGAATGGCAGTGAGCCAGTGACAAAGTGTGAGCTGGAAGGTCTCGCTCTACAGGTATCGATTGACGACTAGAGAGGAAGTCATCTCAGCATAGGAGATGGCGTCTCCGTGATATCCGGGAAGTGACTTGTGAATTGTGGCAGAAGTCACGTGAGCATATTGAGTCGTCTCTCGCTTTACAGATATCGGCTAGCAACTGGAATGGAAGTCATTTCAGCCTAGGAGATGGTGTCTTCACATTTTCTGGGAAGTGATTGAGCTGACAAGTCATGGAGACTTATCAGGCTAAAATCTGGATAAGGCTTGTCCGAGGTGGACTGAGATGTCGATATGTGCTCTGGGAGAGAGGCTTGAGGCTGGGGCCAAGTTCTCAACTTAGTCGACAACAGAGAATGTCCCTCTAGTCATTTCTGAAAAATACCCAGTGAGTGATCGAGTGTCCTAAATAGGGTCGTCCTTGATAATAAAGTCGACCGGCACCACCTTTCGCGTCGACTTAGGAGTGTCGGCCTGTCCAACTGGTTGAAATGTCATCTTATCTCAGCTAATAACCATCTCTTGAGTCGATATAAAGATGTCGACTCGTTTGGGAGGTCAGGATCTCTCGTACCAACTAGCATCGCCTCTTGTGTTGACACCAGAGTGTCGGCTTGATGAGTCGGTAAGGTCGAAACCTCTGTAATTGTGTCTTGGGTTTATCCCTAATAAGGTACTAAGGTCTTGTAATTTAGCCATGATGGTCGAGTTGTACTGGAAGATTCAACCATATGTTATGCCTTGGGCTTACCTTGATAAAGAGCCAAGGGCTTTATTTTTCAACTGAGGAGTCATTGTGCCTTGAACTCTTGAGAGTTGACTAGGGCTTTCTTTCCCCTAATGCCGAGAGATGACTGCGGGAGTTAGCCAAAGGGTTAAGCTTGTTTCGCTTAGGACTCTTATCGTATCATTTTGCCAATATTCGTATCTTGGGTGAGTGAACACCATAACAGTTTGCCCCATTCACTCAGAGTTAGCTTTTAGTCGACTCCGAGAGAAAATAAGATATGCTCTGATTAATGCAGGCCTGCTAAAGATGAGAAACTGAGAAGTCCTTATCTTAGAGATGTGGCTTGTCCTGATTGGACACCCATTGTTAACTCCGCTATTCGTGGCTGACGTCACCAAAGAATCTGGACCGTCTTTTTGAGAGACGATGCTTCATGGATAGAAGGGAGGATCTTCCACTTTTCGAGTATTGGGATGTGGGGCATTAAATGAGGGTGGTGCTTCGTGTTTTGAGAAAAACCGCTTCAGATTCGGATGTGAATCTGGCCTGGTTGCTTCGAAAATCACCGCGTCTTTTGAAATCCCTCTATACCCTTCTTTGAAAGCTTATAAATAGCTCTTTGATGGTAAGATAGTTCTTTTACAAATATTTGCTCTGGAAAAATTCCCGATATTCCTCCAAGCTTTTTCTAAGAAAAAAAATCTTCCATGGCTTCTCAAGCTTCAAACTATGGCCGTAGTGAGGAGAGACTCGCTACTTTTTTCTTATCCGCTCGAAGGTCCATATGGACAATCTGGTGGGATTGTATGATCAATATAATATCCCTCGAACTCTCACATTGGCGACGCCAGAGATGAGCAAGCCAGTGTATTGCCACGACGA